GTTTTTAGGACCACATTAATAACAAAAATTCAATGTTGAGGTTTAACTTCATTATCTTAGTCTTGGACCTAAGCCACAAATGCTGCATGCTGTCAGCTATGATAATTACTTGATATGCGTCTAAAAGCAGAGATCATCACAAGCATACTTAGTTAGTTCCATATTTAGTACAAAGATCCAAAAAAAGGTTCACCAGATCAAAGGACAACAAACATTAATTGCAATGAGTTTTACGCAAAACATAACTTAATAATATTTCACACAGGATATTCTTGTGCTTCCCGGGGTGGAAGTTCATGAGGTGATGGAAGAGTGAGAAGACGAGTTTGGCTGGAGAATTTTTGGAAGTACATTGACAATTCTTTCAAAATTGCAGCAGGAGAAAGATGAAGATCAGGGAATGCAGGAATTACTGGATCATTCTACACCAAGAAAAAGAAAGCTATTAATTCAATTATGCCAACTTGTTATCAAAAAATGCAAGGGAGAAAATATGTAATGAATAATTTTGATTCCCATATGGAATTGTAAATCAGCACTGTTGCACAATACCTTAAATATATTGATCAGTCTATTGATTTTCACCCTCTTGTACAGTGACTCGCTATCTTTCTCTGATGATGTTGCCATGACAACAAGAACAGGCAACACTCGAAGAAGCATGTGCCGCTCAGGAAACAGAAGGGCAAAATCCAATTCTAAGGACTCAACAGCAAAGACTATAAGAACTTGAAGGATGTCTTCTACACTATATTCAGTCAAGGTCCTCAATAATCATTAAAAAGAATTGTCCAAAAAATATATTAACAAGAATGTAACATGGACTCTACATGAACGTTTGATAGAAAAGGCATACTATTTTCCTCATAAACCTGGCAACACAACAAACATTCATCAAACAAGGTTCAACCTGAATACCAAATAGTATAATTGTTCTTTTAAGGTATCATGCAGGGGATGCAAGCACTGCATTCACCACAAACACGTATGAGACAGGATACTTGTTTACACGGAACATCTCCACATGCAAGTTCAACAAGATAGCCCACCTTGTGCTCAAGAAAATCTGCAACAGAAGACAGTAAAACAATATTAGTTATCACAAATTCAAATGAAAGGAAAGCAACGTTTAATGTTTCTAAACCATTATCCTAAAGAACCACAAAGGCACACCTGTAAATCATCCAATTCCTCCCTCATAGAGTCAGTATCTGGCCACTGAACACTGACCTGCGTGAATGTCCTGTCGAAGGGGGAATAGGTCAAAAAGCAAATGACATTAAACTTTGTTAAACATCTATGCGGAGGAGATTGCCTAAGTTAAAACTCAATTTTACTGATTTCTGGAATACCAACAATAGAACATAAAATTTTAAAACCATAAAATAGTGAATTTGAACTTTGATGATCGACTAGTAAGTTTAAACTTTTAAAATTCTCAGACTTCATAAATAAACATACCCTAAAGAATTATATCCAGTAAGCTAGATGAGTTTTCTTGAAAGCAAATGTAGCAAATGTTTCCATGAACGGTATTTCTGACTCAGCTTTATATAAAACTTATTCCCAAAGTAGGCAAGGCTCCTATCATGGCTTAATTACTAGTTTTCAGCTTGTTTTCTAGCTTTCTGTTTCTCCAGCTTTTGATTCAACGCTTATTGTTTTTCACTCACGTATACATCTGAAGCACATTGATTACCATTTGGGATTTTTTGTTTTCATATATCTTTAGCTGCATTCCTGCAACAGTCTCTCTATATCTAAGCATTTCTTTGTTTGCAACAGATATCAATCAGCTGAAACCAAAAAGAGAGTAAGTGAGACAATTTAAGCAACCTAAGTCCTCATCTCTAGATCTTCTCTGTTCAATGTCATCATCCACTTTTTGGTATCTTTAAAGACAAATTTAATCTGCCGTTTAAACCAAACCACTCCCCAAAATCCAATTGATGATAAACATTCGGCACCAAACCTGATACTATATTGCCACATTTTTAAAGATTTTACTCAAATTATACAGCCTACAACCAAATCCAAGTCTATTTTGCAAACTAAGAGACAAACAAGCAATATGCAATAACTAAAAATCATTCTTACCTCTTGTACCAAGAGAAGTCATTAGGTATGCTTGCTTTAGCATTTTTGAGATGATCAAGTTGCACTAAAACATCGAGTAACTTCAACATGGACCTAGATATGAGAAAAAAATAATAAACTATGCATAAGTAAAGCATCTTACGAGAAGAGCTTATTCTAACATCAACATTTAAATGTTGATTAGATGGTTGCATATTTACATATTCAGCAGTCCAATAGGTAATTACAGCAAAAGAAAACAAGATGAGATTCTCAAAAATAAAATTAAAAACAAATCAAATCAAATAAAACAAGAGAATTGTCACAACATACCAGAGGTGAGTTATTGTAGGGCCATTAATGCATCGCTCAGGCCTAGAAAAGCGTTGCATATCAGCTGCTAGCTGTTTTACAAAATTAACAGTTATGAGTAAATAACAACACGCAACCTTGTAAAAACAAAGTACTAAAAAGGAGTAACCAGATGGGTACTTTAGATGCAGCTGATGCTTGCCATCGCTGTATTTCACGCAACCGACTCATCTCCAAGTCCAGAACTTGATATGTTTCTAGATATAAGTCAGCTTGACTATGCTTCATAGAATCAGGAAGCTGCCACATCATGCACAATAAGTGACGCACTAGCATAAGAGAACCAAATTGCAAATGTGATGAGGTTTCTTATTAAAGGGAAATGATCAAAGGAACATTTCTCCATATGATGCTAATTGGTATCATGATGGTCATGACGATATACTCGTAGCAATTTTTTTTGTTTTCCTTTTGAGTCCTTAACTAATGCCAAGGTACCTGAGGAAGTGCTTTGACACAACTGCGGTATGTGTAAAGCACTGATGCCATCTCCTTCCCTTCCTGGATAAGTGTATTCTACCATGCCATCAAAATATAAAATCAGAGACAAAGAAAACATAGAAATGATCAAAATTTTGCAGTAACTCTTGAATCTGGAAAGTTCCAGTGAAAATGGAGTATTTATGCAGAGAAGCAAAAAGTAGTGAACAAAATCGACATACAAGCTGATTGAGAGCTTTTGTGTCCTCCGAAAGAGACAAACGGTAGGCAGAAACATCGCTATACTCTGAAAAGCAGAAAATTTGTTCATTAGCTATATATAAACAAGAGGCTATTAATACAATGGATCTATTCCCAGGTTCCGCAGTCATCCTCCTCTTCACTACTCACAAAAGAGACTCGCAAATGCATATTTCATTCAAATTAAACTTCCAAAACTTTAAGATTCAAGCTTTGCAATGATTCAAATGAACATGAAGTTTCATTCTTCAAACTTAAATCTACTTGTTCAAAACCAAAAAAAAAAAAAAATTGAAATCTAAAGAAAGAGAGAGAGGGAAGTACCAATGGGACTATTAGTTGCTCCTCTTTCAGTTGACACCAAAACTGCTGGTCCTTGTACTTCCGGTTGCTCATCCTAACAAAAATAAATTTTAACCAAAAAAATCGAAAGAAAATTGAAAAAAAAATTAAATGCATTTTTTTTCATTAATTTGATGGCAAAGAAGTTAAATTCGATTTCTACAAATTTGCTTCCTTTTTGTTTTCAAAAAGCTATAATGTAAAGCATACAATGCAATGCATTGTAATTTTGCAAAAAATCAACCAATCATTTAGGAAACAAATCTATAGAAATTAAATTGTAACTTCTTTGGAAGCAAATTAATGAAAGCAAAGCTAAATAGGAAAAGAGAAAAGTTACTTTGTAAGTCATTAATTACCTCTAGGGAGAATGTGGATAAAGCTGCAATGGCTTCTTCAACTGGAACTGCTGCCATTTTTGAAAGAAATTGCTTGAAATTTTTTTTCCAAAATCAATTTAAGTATTTAACCTTTTTTTCCTTGTCAAAATTATAACATTTTCTGAGGTAAACTTTTTCTTTTACTTTTGTTTTCTTTTTTGGGTTACAAAAATAGAAACGGTCGTTTTTCGATCCACAGCGAGTCGGAACCGGAAAAGGCTATCGGAAAGTGAGATGACTCGAGTCTTCAACATTTAGTAGAGCTGGGAGCTGTAGGTTGTTTTTACTAGATTGGACATGATGTGCTTGTTAAATTACGTCAATGCCATCGAGAATTTAGAAATTACATTTAAGAATTTAATTTTTTTATAACATTTAATTAATTTTTTATATTTTTATTTTAAAATTAACAATATCATTTTTATATCCTATGACATTAATATAATATAATGATTTGTTGTAATGAATAATGATATAACATGCTATCATAATTTTATTTTTTAATATAATTAAATAAAACATCAAGTGACATAATGTGATATAAAAATTATAAATGTTATTTTAATAAATAATAATTAATTATTAATAATAAAAATTTATTTAATTTAAACTAAAAATATATAAATTTAATTAAACATGATAAAAATAAAATTGTATTATATTTATATAAATTATTTGAAACAAATTAAGAGTATTATAACTTTAAAAAAAAAAAAGAAACCGAGTAGAGGTGAACAGGACAAAAAATACATGTTATTGTAGGAGTGAGGGCCCAAAGTAGTTAAGATTTGTTAGGATTTGTTGAAATGTATAAGAACAATGCTTCAAACTTTCTTTCCTACCCTTTTGGGTTAAACTTTTGAAACAATTTTATATGATCTTAGGTAGCTTTGAGGTCAAGCATGGATCACATTTCGTTTCCATTAAGGAAAAAGTGGGCTGCCACTAATTGAGTAGATGTGTGATTCAAGCAAAAACAAGGAAACAAAATAATTAAAGCATTAAGTCTAACTAACAGCATGGTTGACTTCAGAGTTAGCTGAGGCCACGATTTAAATGCAAGAGCTTACAAAGAAATGATGGCAGCATGCACAAGGCATTCACCTTCAGCTTGGCTGCACATATATTTGCTTAGATTGGCAGGTGAAATTAGTGGGAAGAATACAGTTATGAACAAAATATTGAAATAATTTACAGTTACATTATGCTCTGAATTTTGCAGCAATGGAAATGCTAGCTGGCTGCAAATCCATATAAGGAATGCTTGTTTATGATGCTAGTTAGAACTATACAACATGAAAATTGGATTATACACCTGCTGCTATAATGATGATAATGCATCATCACCAGCAGTGTCAACTGTCTGTCTGGCAGAAATAACCCTGTCAAGGGTTTGGTCAGGGACTGTGATTCCAGTAGTCTCCAGGTCTGCAACAATCGCAATGGCTGCATCTAGTTCTCCAAGGTCAACGCATAATGAGATTACTTCATCATAGAGGGGACTGCATACAAGAAACAGAATTAGGTAGAAATCTAATCTAAATGAAACCAACCATGTAATACAGTCCCGTGAAAGTGATTTGAAAAATCTGATAGAGATCTGAGTCACACTTTTGTGCACAGCTTAAGCAGTACCATCCAGTTTCATTTCTAGATTCTTCAACTATACAAGTTTGAGAAACAATTAAAGAACTAAACAGCTTATTCCCAGTACTTGTCCCGGACACCCTCAGCCTGCCTTTAGAAGAGTAAAAAAAAAAATGAAGGCTTATAGGTAAGCCATCACCTTAATTAATCGGATATAGGAACATGACATACCTCCCAAAGACGAAACCAAGACTGTGTGCCGTCTGCAAGATCTTCAAGAAGGCTGAAGGCATAGGAGCCTTTATAGCTGCACGGAGTATCATAGCACAATCCCCCACAGTGGGTGTTCCACCCAATTCTATAACCTGAAAAATTATATATATTAAATTTCATCAGTTAATGTGAGCACATACAGATGCCAACACTTGGGGGCATGATAATTATCCAGCATGGGGAAAAAATTGCACCATGTCAATGCAATTTCAAGTGCTGCCTGATCTAAAAAAAGCAGGAAATTTTAACCAATGCAGAAGTGAATATATTATTAGGCTGCCATGAAACAGGAGAAAAACTTTATGATGTGATAGAACAAGTCCATCAAACAAGAATTTTTGTTTACAAAATTGAGATAGATGTAGATGGACAGAGAAATGAGTACAAACTAGGAGAAGAAAATACAAGAACTGACTATTGAGGACACAAGTAAGCAGGAAATAAGAACATACCTTCTGCATTACTTGAATAGCCAACTCAACTTCCCATTCTTGTGACCATTTTCGAGGAGGTTTATTTTTCAGTTCTTTCTCCCACGTCCAACCCCAAGCATCGGCTATTGTGTACATGTCTTCTACGTCAAACACCTTCCTATCTCTCAGCTCCTGAAATGCTTCAAAAATATCCTCAGGAAACCAATCGTCGTCATCATCATCCTGCATCCACATGCAAAAAGAGATGCATCTCTAGCAGCAAGCATAAATATATATAGGAGATGAATGTCTCAAGAATTCTTTGATAAAAAAGGCAAATTTTGACCGTCACCACACATCAGTTTATGCAATAGGCAACAGATGGATTTACTTGAAATATATTGCATTTGCAATATCCTGGGCAGTTACACAAGCCATAAAAAATCATAGCAACATTATATTTCCTACCTCTACTGAAACTCGAGAAGACCTTCTTCTTGATTTTTTGGATCTAGTGGTTCTTTGGTCAGAGTCTTTCAACAATTGAACCCCAATCATTTGAAGAGGCTTCTTAGCTTCAACTTCCTTATCCTTAATCCTGTCTCCTTCTTGGCTTTCAGTTTGTTCTACTTCCTCCTCTTCATCAGCTTCATCATCTTCAATATCCTTTGCAGCGTCTTCTACAACATCGCCATCATCCAGCTCATCATCTGCAGGTTCTGATTCACCCTCATCGATAGGCTTCACATGATCAACATTCAAGCCTTCTCCAAGAAAGCGGCGTTTCCAGAACTCTGTATTTCCTTCTTCCAACTTGATCCGTGAAATTAGCTCATCTACCTCCTCATCAACCTGCAAGAGATATGCAATTGAATTTTGAATGCATAAATTAAAACACTAGAATGAAAAATTCAATATGCAAACAGTATGGATTTGTGAATAAAAAATACATTAATAAATTATAACCTCTTCCTCTTCCTCCTCCACAGGAGGAACCCAAAGAGGCCGACCACGTGACCGGTTTATTCTCCTTGCTTTTTGCACACGCTGGTAAAGAACATTTCTTGTTCCGTCAATTGGTAGACCTTGTGCCTCAAGCTCTTCTTTTAGCTCAGATACTATCATCTTACTAGCAGCCTTGGGTTTTAAAACATTCTGGTCAGGACCTTTTATCATTTTCTTTAACCTCTCCACGACTCTCACATAATCAGATTCAGATGCACCACCAAGGGCTGCAAGTCCTTCATTCTGCAAGGTTTTCAAAAGCTTCCGGTGGTGCAACTTCCAGTCCTCAAGACATCTTTGCTTGAAGGAGGTTTCCATAGGGTTTGAATATATAAATCCAGCAGCATCAGGATCTAGAGGAGTTTTTCCTCTCCGAGGCACCCATCGCTTGCGCTCACCGGTAAGCCCACCCTCTTCAATGTACCTGGTTTCCAAAGACAGTAAATATTAAGAAAATCACCAAATTATCGATCATCGATTTATTGACAGTCTGAATTGTAAAACATTATAGAAAATTTTCGGCCAATTAAGGTATGCCACAATGTATTAAGTGAATGATACATAGGAGATGATTAATTTTGAAGTTGAACAGAAGCAAAATGGTTCAATAAAATCATGCTTCAAAATTCGACTATTCCACGGATGATGAAGGTAGCATTCTACGCATTATCCTGCATGAAGTGAGATTTAAACTTCATTATGTAACTATTACAGTAAAAGCTACATTTCAGTTAAACAATCAATATAAACCAAGCATATAATGACAAATTCTCTTCATAGCCATTTACGAATAAAGATGGTTAAGCATTAAAGACAACTTCAAATTTAACTTTTAGAAATCTTCCAGTAAAGCACATAAGGCACGAATGGGAAACTATAAATAGATTGTGAAGTTATCGCAGCAGACTTGACTGTTGATAAAAAGGCACACCTAGCAATGTAATCAATCTCATATCCAAGTTCAGCTTCTTCTTGTAGAGGTTCAATCCATGAGCTAACTAGTGTACGGTACTTTCTGCTTAGAATCATAGCTCTTGGAGGAATAGTTTGGTTATCTTTGGCCATAGCTTGCAAAGCTTCGAGCAATTCAACAATTCTTCCTGATCCAAGCATGAGTACAAGGTAATAAACATTAAATCTACAGCCAAGAAAGATTAACTTTATTGACCATATAGATAACAAAAATACCTAGATACCTTCTCGACATAATGCTCGAAGATACAAAGAAAGTGGATCATCAAAGTTTCCTTCATTGTGCAACACTCTTGTCCCCCCTTCAAACTTCTTTAGTGCACGAAAGTGCCGAATAGCTTCCTTTACAACACAGTACTTGGTAAAGCACTCCACTAACAGCCTGAACATATGAGCATGACATCATCTATCATGGACAAAAATAATAGTACAAAAAAAGAAAAGGAAGGCAGTACACTATGAAAGTTGCAATTGATCAAGACTGTAAAAAGTGAATGTAACAGCATCTAGTTCGAGGTCATTGCATTAATGAAATTTAGTAGAGAAGACAAATAAAGGCAGCTTTCACCTAGAAAAGTATTTTCTAAATTAATCGAGTAAATGAACATTTGAATCTCAGAAGCAACCAAGGAATCACTTTCAAGTAAGGCAGATAATACATTGTTTCCATGTAAGAACAACAGACCAGTGGTATATCAATTTATATGAAGGCTAATCATGTGTGAACCCCATAATTTAAAGCAACCTTATGTGTAGGAATTTTTCTGGCAGCAGGGGTATCCATCCTAAGTTGACATCACAATAAACAACACAACTTATTGGCAAAATGCAACAAGAGATCACTTTTGACAATCAATGCATTCAACACTACAGCAAACAGGATCAAGAACAAAAACAATAGAAAGGAAATCTTCAAACAAGTTTGGTCCATCAACCTTCTGCAGCTTACATAATAAGGCTGTACAACACCTAGAGCAACTCCATAATATTTTTGGGGCAAATTTTATCTGGAGTTGAAAAAAAAGAGGTGCAAATATGTGGCTAGATCACTTAAAAATGGGTTGACAAATCAATTAAATCAAAAGGGAAAGTGGAAAAAGCTAAACAGGAAAAATCTCACAAATGAAACTTATGAGAAGTGTTTAAACAAGCAGCATAAACAATTTTATGCCGTTGCATGGTCATAATCACCTACTTCTTAGGAGCAGCCTGAGTTAGCTGAATATTAAGTAATTGGAATTTATGGATAAAATATGACTGATGGTTTGTTCCTAAGTATCTCACACTTTCCACCGTGGCAAGGAAAAGGGGGGCAGAAGGGGAAGGGGGAATGCCTCTAATAGGACCCAATCTCACGTTGCTTGAATGATCAAAGGGTTGTAAGAAATAAAGGAGAGAACTTATACATGCCACCAAGAAGCATGGGTTTTTTCATCCTAAACAGCTTAAAATTTGATCAATGACTACACCAAGTTTTCCTGCATTTCAGGAACAAGTTGGGTTGCCATCTACAAACCAAAGATTTAGAGGAATGGCAACAGCAGAAGCTTACACTATGGCTAAATAAACCAGGTTAACAGATGACAAGAGTAAACAAGTAAAACAATCCAATTCCTTTGGACTATTACTTGCAATATTTTACAAGATAAACTGGCACCAAAGGTTACTTTTCTAACTTTTACACAAAAAATAAAGACAATAAGGCACATGCACCAAGAAAAATGCTTCAAATATTTACCAATAATAGGAAAAAAAGACTTTTGCTTACGCATAGGTTTTTACATTAGGCTGCACACGCTTGTGGTCTTCAACCATCATCCCAAGTAACTCAGCCACATCTTGCACCCTGCAATTCATATCAAAATTCAAAATATATAGTGCTGTAAGCGACTCTATAGCATATACCATTAAGTTATAAGCAACTTAAGAACCACTCAGCATCCCACCAGAAATGGAACTAAAAAGCCATAACTGGATAATTTGGTAAATTTGATTTACGGACTCATCTTAGTAAAGGTTCCTTAATTATGAGTTTAATAACCAATTTCTATGCTATTCAAATTTCCATATGAAAATTATCATTAAATTCTTATACTAAACAAGATGACTGTCAAATAAATAGACTGAAAGTTTTCATGTCTACCTGCAGAAACAGTGCCCCAAATAAAGAAAGTGGCGTAGCTAGTGATCTGCTAGATAAATTACCTGTCATAAGATTCAGCTCTAGTATATGCTTGAATCACCCAATTATATGTCTCTGTGTCAGGTTTCATATATTCTGTTATCCAAAGACAATAATGTATGTTAGACAAACCTTGAACAATTGAAGCATTTCATGTCCTCAAATGTTGTCAAAGCAACAAAAAGAAGTAACTAAAATAAATGAGAACCTTCTCCATATTCCATGTTCTCAAATGTTGCAAAAGCTATTTCAGGTATCCCACAAGTGGCCTAAACAAAGGAAACGGATGGAAATCAGTATAAACTAGCAGATATCTAACAAAGAGCGGGGAAAGGATTCTAACAAACAGCGACTAATAGAAACCATCAAATATTTAAAGATGCTTTCTTATTGCGCCATCACGATTCCATTCTTTGAAGGATAAAAGTCACTATATGAAAAAATCATCATCACATTTCCATATAGTTAGCTGGCTCCAAACAAACATTGTAAATTACATACATCAACCAAAACACACACAGTCCCAAAAGCTTGATGAGTGTAAACTAAAAAAAAATCAAATGCAAATAGCTTTTACTAATTATTAGAGCACTGAATTGCAAAACTCAAACTCCATTTGAAGGGTTAACAAAGAAGGTCAAAACGCCATACAAAAAATCAGAAAACTCACTTGCACACTAAGAAGGCAATTGAAATGAAAAGTTGTTGCCATCCGTCCAGCAGCCTCCATTTCATAGGCAATTTCTAATGCATTAGAATGATCCCCGACTTTACAATCCTCCTCAATCATTAGATCGTACAGCTCATTTGTAGCTCTCAGCCCACCTTTGGCACCCTTCAAAAACACATTGTTGGCATCTTCCATATATTTGTTCCTAACAAGCTCCTCTGTGGAGGGAAACTTCAACAACTAAGAACAAAAATCATCGAATATCCAGATTATAACACACATAAAAACACAGTTCATGGCGTTTATTAAACATTGTACCAACAAGAATAATCCAAGCTTGACGAATATCGTAGTTTAACTTTTCCATTGCTGCAAGGACTTCCAAGCCTTTGGTTGCAAGGCCTTTAGACCCAAATAGACGAATCATTGAAACAAGCGTTTCATGGAGAGGACGAACACCCACACCCAATTCCCTCCTCAATGCTTGCATCTACATCCCAAATTCCCAAAAGTTTGTTCAAAATATTAACCAAAACAAAAACCTGTTTGAGTTAACATTTGCATTCAAATAAATAATTGATTTTTTTATCAAAAAAGAAAATTTTATCAATTCCCATTAAAAAAACAAAATTTTTTTAATTCAAAGAATCCAAATTCATACATATCCGCCCAAAAAAAAAAGAAAAAAAAAGCCATTTGAGTTTTCCATGTAAAAAGCCAAAAGTCATTCATTTCCACTCAATTAAAAAAAGCATATTTATTGCCGAATTAGACCATACCGCGCCTTCAACATCACCATTTAGTACGTGAGCAACGACAAGCCCATGGAACGACCTGGGGCCGGGAGTGAGGCCGGCGGCAATCATGTCATAAATGACATCGGAGACGCCGGCGACGTCTCGGGACCTGGCTTTCTGCATAAGCTCTTCCATGAAGGTGAGACGGAGCGATTTCTCGAGGGCCGAAACGGCAGCGTTCGAGGAAGAGAGAGTGACATTGTCGTTGTCTTTCCTTTGTTCGGATTGGCGCTTTTTCCTTCTGGGTGATGGCTTTCGCTTCGGGGAGGATACAGCAGCGTAAACGACAGCGTTTCGGTGGCGGGAGAGAGGAGGAGTCGAAGGGAGGAGAGTATGAGAGAGGAGGAGGGACATTTCTTTTGGGAGGGAATGGATAAGACACAGAGACGGAGAGGTTTAAGGAAAGAAAGGCTGGGTTTTTCGATTCGAACGTTGGACAGAGAGAGGAGCGCCATTGTTTTTTTTTTTTTTTTTTGCCATTGCACTATTTCTTTTTCTATTTTAGACTTTAAACATTTTTTTTCATAAATTTCGTTTTATATTTTTCTTAGATTAAAATTATTTATTTATTTATTTGGATAATTGTTTTATTATGAAGAAAAATTATTTATGAGTTGAATTTATGAAATTTACATAAATACCCTTACCTTGCCTTACTTTATAGTTAAAGAACCCGTCCTTGTTTATCTATAATAGTATAATCGAAATATCGAGTGTACTTTTTGAATTAAGTTAAGTTTAATTTTAAGAAATTGATGGTTATAGGCTGATGAGTAATGATAATTCAAGTAAATATCTTGAAAAAAAATGAAAGAGGATAGCAAGGGGATGTTTGTTATTATTTCTTTTAGTTTATTATTTTTATCTCATTCTTGCCTGAATAATATATAAAAAATAATCATGAAATTTTGTTTAATAGTTAGTATAATTTGCAGATTTCAGGCTATTATATCAATTAAAATGATGAATTTTTTTTACTAAAATAAAAAGTAAAGAAAAAAAAATACATAAAGACAGATAAATTGTAACTTAACATTTCGAATTATTTGAGAAATGATATCGAAATTAACTATTAAAATAAAAGACATAAATGTATGCTGTTAATTTATTTAAGAACAATAAAAATTCTTCATAAACTAGTAACCAAAGGCCAAAGCAAATTTAAATATATTTAATATTTTCTATAATTATATATTAAAGGAAGCTCCTGCGAAGTTCTTAAAGGTCGACAAGTGGTCGTCTATCTGTTTGACACGTGGGGTTCTCGTAAGGTGTCCCTATATCAGGTTTGGTGATGGGTTTTGGGCTAGGGCTGGCTTGGACGGAGTGTACGCTCGCATGGCCATGTGACCATTTCATTGATTCTTTTCTCTTTTTTCCACTTTCTCCCGTTTCTTCCTTCTTTTCCAATTCCTCCTTCACTCATGTGGTGCACCTGATTCTTCATTGTATTTTGCGACCAACTTCTGTCTGGAATAGATGCATGTGTGGCCTGAGTAAGATGGCGTGCTCAGCTTGCTTTTCATGCTTTCATTTTATGTCTGCTGACTTGCTTTTCAAATTTGGCAGAGGAGTTTTTCGTTTTTCTTTTGTTTGGCTACTCCAAAACCTTCCTTTCTTCTCTTTGGGTCTGTATTTTTCATTCTATGGTTTCTATGTTCCTTATCATTAATTCCTATAATATGTTGTTTATATTAAAACTATTAATAAAGAGTAAGATATCATATATTAAGTAGTGTAAAATAAATAATCATATGATTTATACTTGAAATGAAAAGTTTCTTAAATTTTTTCCTTTGATGAATTTCAGATAATCTTTAAAATTACATTTCTAATGCCTCGATTTGCCGCAATAATGACATATTCCTTTGTCATTTCCATATACTTCTTTACTCCACCACTAAGCTTCATATCTGTCGAAGTTGATGCCTTATCATTCTTGTTTTTTAAAAAAAATTTCTTTATTTTGTTTTCATTTTTCTTAGAAGAGATAAGATGAACCGAGGGTTTCTCTTTCGCAATGATTTTCTTAACCTGTGTGAGTATATTTAATAAACCTAAAAAGATCACCTCAATCTTATTCATGTTAAAATTCAACACAAATTGTGAATAGCTCTTTGGTAATGAAAAGAGTATATGGTTTATGCTCAAATCATGATCCATGGTCTAACCCAACTACTTAAATCGAATAATATATCCTATAATCTTTAGCACATGAGGTCTTACCAGGCTTCCTCCAAACATTTTACATTGGAACAATTCCTTCAAAATGTCAAATCTCTTTGTGCGATATTCTTTAGTGAACAATTCTCTAAAGTTTAGGATAATATCTAGGGTATTTATAACTTTATGTTGCTTTTGAAGATCCCAAGCCATACTAGCCAACATCAAGCATGTGGTTTGTTTGAAATCATCCATACGAACTCTATAAGCCTCATTTTCCTCATCTAGAGCATCATTGCTAGGCTTTTCAAGAATAGAATCATCTAAAACATATGCCTTTTTCTCTTATTTCAAAACAATCTTAAGCTTGCAAAACCAGTCAATAGAAAATATGTTTTTGAGCAACAAATTATTCGCCATAATTGATTTATATTTTATATAAACCAACATATAAAAGTCATTATCGCAAATGATGTAATCACAAAGATAAGTTTTTACAATCTTATCTGATGATTCTCATTATTTTATCAAAATAATAACCTTCCACTAATATTTTGAAAAATTTAACTTTTAAACTTCTTAGTGAGCTAAAACCCCTTTCATCTCACTATGACCTTGAGTGACTAAACAAATCATAATAAAACTAATTAAGTAGGTAACTTTGCTTACCAATTATATCTCATACAACTCCTATATCAGTTAGATGACAATTTATTGTTTAAATGTTTCATATACATTTTGCCTAACTTTACCTCCAATACCATGCGGTCAAGTGTAACACATCTGAACAACATAGTATTAGTTGTGTAAGACTCATTAATAACTCAAACGTACTCATGTAAAAGTTTAACCTTAAGTGACTCAACAAGCTTTCGATTAAAAGAACAACTTAGTTATCTTGTTATATGGTGGAAGGCAACCTTATTATGCTTAGCGTGTCACTCAATATATAAATGAAGGATTTAGTTTATCAATTGATTAATTAAGATCTCATTGATTTATTGTTATTAACATACATAGCATTTATTGCATTTTGTATATCATATATATTGAAAAATAAATTTATCACATGTCAACTATTAGGATGATTATGAATTTTATTAATTTTAATTTCCTCGAACTGTTAAAAAAAATTATTGGTCAAATTCTTAGGAGACTTTATAAATATAGTCTTCACACTTTACTTGTAATCTCCTTAAATTTTCATGGCACCTTTGGATCTCCATCTTCAAGTTAAAAAAAAAAAATTTTAACCATAGTTTTACATCTTGATTTAACAAATTATATTTACATTTGTAATCAAGAAATCTCACGTTACATTTGATGGGAGTAAGGTGACAAAAGAAGTTTACAACCCAAAAAATAAAGATATGGGTTCATAAACCTTATTTCAAAAATAAATGCCATAAGAAATAAATTTAATCATCTATGACCTAATCATTTAAGGTCTAAATCCATAATCACTCTCATACTTTATAATCACAATTAAATACATAGAAATAAATGCAAGCTCAATATCACTTTACGATCATGTGTATTATTTGAGAAAAAATCAATTAACTTACTTAAAACGCTTGACTCAAATTATTTAGTATAGTTTTATTTTAATTTAGTGTTTAAGAAATTCTTATTTTCAAAACTCTTAAAAGTAAACATTTTACTCCTATTCCTTAGATAGAAATCCATTGAAACAAAATTTCTATTTTAAAACTTTCCACTTTAATTCCTTTCATAATTAAAACTTTTTTAAATTTTGAAAACCTCTTTATTTTAGGTAAGCTTTCTAAAATGTATTTAAGACAACATCTTAATTTCTAACATTTAAAATATGGATTAGTTTTCTAAATTGTATTTTGTTCAAGTTACCTAAATGGTGACTTAACAAAGTTTGAAAATTTCTAATCAAACCAAAATTTTTAAGGAAAGTTCAATGATATCACATAATTTTAGCAATCCACTTTAATAATAGTGGAAACAATTTCCTTTTCTTTATAAATCACTTAAAATTAAAATAGATGGCACCCAATGCCACTAAAGTAGTTGCCTGCTTTAAGGAAATTTTAGGCAACAATTGCCGCCCCATTAATAGGCTTAAATGCTCTTAAAACTTCATAAATAATAAGTTAAACTCATGAATAAGGTTGTTGAAAACTTTCAGCAATTGTGTTTAACAATTAAATATAAAATTCATGAAAAATTAAACTATCAAAAACTAATCATTACTGCCTAAAATTTTGCATTGAAACTTTGTTGTTTTGGAACCCAAAAACATGATTTTTTTTTATGATTTTTTTCATACCAAATTAAGGGTGGCCAAAATATGTAGTAATTTAATTTGATAAAACTAATTTTTAACAATTCAAAACTACTCATAACATTTACCCACAATTAGCAAAAATAACCGACACACTAGTCTTCAAAACATCTCAAAAATATTCAATTTTAACCTAACTTCATAAGCCTTTTAGTCCATTCATTAATTCTTCAATTAAATATGATTTAAAACTTTTTAAAACATATTTTAATGAATGACTTATATGTTGTCTAGATTTAAATTAAAACTAAAAAACAAAATTTTAAAAAAACTCTTCAAAACCAATACATACCAAATCAATGCACAAATCAATTTTATTGATTATCACCAAGAATCATGCATTCAAATTACATGAAAAGTATCAAATAAAGGCTTTGATATCACTATTGGGATTCAGCTTCAAACTCAAATAGAAAATTGATTAAGAGATTAAAAGCATAACGCAACAAAAATAAAAACATATGCTTAATATAAAGAAATAGCCAAATCCATTAGGATTAATTGTTTCTGTCTTTCATGCAATATTTTAAGATTAATTATGAAAACTCATAATTTCAAGTATTATATATGTTACTCTAGATATTGTAATTAAGAATCAATTAATTCTAAGATTACTTGTGATAAAGCAGGAAATAGAAAACACTAAATGTGCTTGTCGCAGAAGATAGTTTGAAATCCTGTAGTTGAAATCTTTGCTTCTTCATCTTTGAGATTTGTCAAATTTTCAATCGTTCAAGTGTTTAACCTCTAACAATAATCAATATAGTGATAAAATAAAACCTTCTCAAGATAAGATTTTTTTTTTTACTTACACTAGTAAGTGATATTTTTAACAAAAAACCAAAACAAAGCCTAGTTGAACACTAAATCTTTGTCAAACCAAGAAAACTTTTTTTTCTTTTCTTCCTCTTATGTTTCGGCTAAGAAATGTGGCTTTAGACTTAGTATTTTAATTAGCTAATATAACATATTTATATAGCCAAACTTAGTTGTAACTCTATATACAACATTTGTATTTTTGTTCAATTAAGTCATTGTGAACTTAATTAATTTTTTGTTTTTTTTTTGTCTATTTTAATTAAGAACAACTTAATTGATTATCCTTATTTAATCTCAATCATATCACTTAATCTATGTCACTTATTAGGCTTCTAACATATTGATAATAAATATAAATCATAATCAAATATCAATTCAATAATTGATTTATATTTATAAATTATGAGAGGTATCTAACAACTCATCATAATCACTCAAATGTTAAAAAGTCAATTAAAAAATTTGACAAAGTCCTTCAGTGATAAATATCTTAGTGCAACATGGTTTTTTCATCATATATCCCAAATATATGTCATTAAACATGGCTTAGTGCCTACTTATTACATTTCGTATTAGTTCTTATAATTCATGATTAACCTTATAAATTTTAGAAATCAACTTTCCTCAAACGTATATGCTTTGACCAAATACTTTATATAAGTTAAACTTAAATTAAGAACAAATGAGATATATCCCCTTTCATCATTTAAAGTTATGAATCCTTTAATTGACCACTCATTCACTTTCACATGCTTTATGTCATATCTAAAAGTGCACTGTTGAGACATCCAATTGCCTTTAAACCCGTAAAGATAAAATCAAAGTACTTCACTTCCCATACAAGATGACTTAGTGTCTCAAGTTTAAGGACTAGTTGCATGGCTATCATATGAGAACATATTTTATTGACACTTAAGTGAAATACCAAATGGAGTCCTCATAATGGGTCATGTTTAGTGAACTTATTCTCTAATAAGCACCCACATGCTATCATCAAGTATCCCATATATTTTAATATATGAGATCGATTGTTTACTTCCCAAGTAAAGAGGCTTAACAGCCACAAGTTATAATGTGAAAATAAATCTTTTATTCCTAGGTTAATCATGAAGTCAAGAATGTTCAAGCTATTACATTTGGAGTCCGGGACATGTTATTTTATGATTTTCAAAAAATTAACATAGCATTTAAGGTTTCTTCAAGTCTCTTCTTTACTGTTTGATCTGTGCAAGTCCCATTTCCTTTCTTTTGATGCATTTTTCTTGGTTTTCTTTAGTATTTAATTTGTATAGGTAATTTTTTTGGTAGGAAATAAGCTAATTGTTCTATTTTGATGTAATATGTTATTTTTCTATCATTGTATTTGAGATTATTTTGTTCACTTTTTAGCAAAGAAGTCTCCTCACACATCACAAATCAAGTAATTTATATGGTTCTCTTTATGGTAATTTTTTTACCATTATCTTTCTCTTCACACATGACCAGTTCTGAATTTGATACGGTATTGGAATTGAATTGATTTTATATTACTATTTCTTTTTTTATTAATGCATGGAAACAATAACAAAAAACAAATACTAGCATCCAATAATATAGACCTACTATCAATAGTATTAGAACCAATTCAACATGAAGACTATCCAGGCTACTTCCTCATGATTGCATTGTGAAGGATATCAAATAAATTCATTTTGAATAAATTTATGGTGCCATCACAATACCTTTTGACTTTTGGAAATTTATTATTACAAATTACAATATAGTTTCATGTTTGTAAATGATACTTTGATTCATTTCTTTCTTTCAAGCATTCTTATTTGATTCATCTTTAGTGTTTAGACAATTATCTTTATTAATCGAATACACAATATTTAATTGCCAATTACAAGATGTTTGACTGTACACTTCTAGTTTTGCTAGTGCTTCAAGATCAATCAATAGCCAAGTAGTTAGAGACTTTTTCTAGAGTGCATGCCATAGAAACAAGCCACCACTAACAAAGGAGAAGAATCACCCACCAAGAAACACAAAACCAGGTACAAATGCTACAATATTCCATTTCTAATCCATTTTTCATATTGAAAATATTAATCTACTCCATTTTTTTGACAAATCAGTTTTGTAAATGGTTAACAACTTAAGGAATTCTACATCTGAGTTTGCAATTACTCATTTAACTCATTTTCTCATGAGAATTGTGTAACTAAGTTTCCACTGAACTAGCTATTTGAATGTCTAAATAGTCTAAAAACTTTTTGCGCCACACTTTTAAGCTGAAAAAGGAAAAAAAAAGAAAAGCATGCTCTAAGGTTGATTAAAAAGCATCTTTTCTGCATTTGTCTTTATCACCTTAGCTCCGATTAATCATGTTATTATTTCAATTTGTTATAACTCATGTCTTTATTTACTAAATTTATTTCTCACGTAATGATATCTTACTATAACCGTGGTACATTTTATCGATCGTACTTTTGATAATGATAATAATTTCTCACATTTAAAGTACAATCATATATGTTTCCCTTGATAACTATTTCTAATCAATTAAAACACAAACCATTTTAAGAACTCAAATAACCACATGCACATGGCTATCTAACATATGAATTTTCTTTGTTTTTGCTCTGCCGTTTGCTTTCTCTTTTTGTACTTTTTACTTAATATTATAATCTAGCTCAACGTCATTCCTTTGATGATAAACTTTTTTACTAAGCTTAGGTTTTTATTTCTTTTTTCCTCATGCAGAGGATCTTCTAAAACAACCTTGTGATGAAAGAACGGCTTCATTGAAAAGAAATAAAAACCGTTCTTTTATACCAATGAATTGTGGAATTTCAATAACAATTATAATTTGTATTTTTTATCTACAGATAGCATGATCAATTGACCATTGTAATCTTAAATTTTTGTATAAGACCATAAGCTATGCCATTGAAAAGATATGTAAAAAACAAGCATCATATCAAAATGCACCAACAGATCACTTCTGGAACTCTACCACACAAATGATCTTAATTTTGTTCATAAGCATTAACTTTTTGTTAAGTAGATGGAAATGAATGTATGGGATTATAAACAACTATGAAATGGTCTTCCACTTTGTATTAAAAACTATAACAACTTTGTGTATAGATGCTTCTCTAAACACTTCCTTCGGTACCAACAACTCTAAGTCATTATGCAGTCTTTCATTAGACCCGAATGTAACACACGGAGACATTTCTAGTATATAAACTAAAGGAGTAACATATATGGTCAAATGTCTTCAACCAAACTGATCAATTCTTCTTGTTAAGCTCTTGGAGAATAAAACTGATCTTATCAGCAGTCAATGGTTTCTCAAAGCAAAAGTCTAAACCTGCCTCCATGAATGTTTGCGTCTCATACTGCGAGTCACGAGAAGTCACCCCCACGATCAAGCTATTCACCCCCATAGCTCTCAACTCCTTTGTTGCCTATAACATGTAAAACATATACAAATTAACACATTTATAAATAAGTTTTAATTTAAAATCTTCATTCCTCTTCTTATAATTTTTTGAAATATTTAAGTCTGTCATATCTTTTAATTCAATTGACCAATGTTACAATCAGAAGAGTTTATTACATGTTTTTACGATTAGTATATACCTCAACACCATCCATGATAGGCATTTCCTTGTCCATTAGAATGAGATTGAAAATAGTTCCAAAATGGCAAAGATCAACAGCCTTTTTTCCATTTTCGACCACCTGAGCCCTTAGTCCAAACTTTTTGAGATGCATATCATGGAGTTTCCTAATGACAGGATCATCATCAACAACTAGCACAGTGAAATCGTTGCAATTACTAACCATGTTTTCAACTCCATCAACCATTTTTCTGCTTAGTGAACTTGATGCGCCTTTTCCTAGTACCATTGCGTTACAACCTTGAGCTTCTTCAAGCACATTGAAATTGTTAGCAACAAGTCATCAAAACTTGACACAACTACAAAGTATTAGGTAAAAAAAAAAGATATTCATAGCTTTGATTACCTTACTAGCTACTTGATAAATGAATTCTTCAATTGCTAATGCATGTGTCTTTAAGTAGCTAGATTTATATAGGCAATGGAAAGTGATACTTTTTGTCTTGTGTTCAAGACACATGATATACATGAAGAGTTAAAGGGCTCGCAACAAGATGTGCAATTTGTCACTTAACCTTAAACCAGTGGTATTTTCTTTTAAAAAGGTTGAAAGGGAAAAAGATTGCAAGTACTTAAGATGTAATCCAGTTTTGAGATGTGAAAAATCCAAAAATCTTATTTTTCATTTTAGTATTCTAACACGAGTAGTTTCTCTATAAGATCTATGCAATTAAGAATGAAAGATATTGTTACATAAATATGATTTTATTACAAATTGGGTCATTTCTATTAAGAGTTTCCTTTACGAATACCATGGGTATTTGTTTGCACTAGCCCACCATTTTAAAAATCAGGGATCAAGGATCGGACACATGCTTGTGCTCGTGTTTGTTTTTTGATCTGATCCCCACAGTCATATGTATGCACATACAATATATGAAATTGAATTATATATATATAAAACAACACTTAATAGTTAACAAAAATGATAAATTTCAATATTTGAAAATTGGACATATCTATAACTATATAAAAGAGGACCCCTCAAAAGTCTCCCACGCTTAGGTCATGACTTTTTGGTCTTTTCCTTTTCCTAGTGCCATTCTTCTAGATTTTTCTTTTCCCTTTCTCTCTTTTTACTTTGTCCATTGTTTAGCTTATAGATTTTTCCCTTTCTCCCTAGATTTCTCTACATTTCTCTTTTTTACTTTTTCCATTTTTTCATCCTAACGTCTTCTTTTTTCACTGCTCTTTTCTTCTTTTTTTTTACTTTCTTTGTTTGCTTTCTTGCTTCTTTTTCGTTTTGTTTAGTCTTTTGATTTGTTTACCCACTGTTCTTCTTAATTTCTTTACTTATTTCTATTTTGATTTGCAATTTGTTTTTTTTTTCTTTTTTCTACATTTCGGTTTTGTTGTTGTATGAATCTTTTTCTATCTTTATATTCTCCATTTCTTTTTTCTTTCTCGCCTTTAATAATTCTTGACTGTTGTGATTCATTTTGTGACTTTCAGATTTTGACTACTGACTTGGAGGCTTTATTATATACTTGCCAGAAGAAATCAGGCTGCCCATGGGGAAACATCAATGACTTGGTTTGTTTGTTGAGGGTAACTTTCAAAAGATTTATCAGATCGAAAACTCTTTTTCGCATTCTACTGTGCGAGTTTTGTTTTGTATCTCCCTTGCTCTGTTAGACTTTTTTTTAACCCTTTCTTTTATTGCTTTTATTTTTTTTTTTCCAAATTTTGGTGGGATTTTGACGCATTCCTTAACCTATTTCTTAACTATACTTTCTCTTTGGGGTTGTTAATATACTTTATATTTTTTTGTTTCGATAAGTTGTTGAAATTTATTTTTTGTCATTGCTGGACATGGATGTGAGATATTAATCTTTGCTGTCCATGGATTTTTCTTTGATCAGTTTCTGGAATTAGAATTTCTATAATCTGTTGTAAAGCTCTCATGTGATGAAAACACATATGCTCCTATGTGTGTCTGTTTTTGCTGGCAATATAAGATTCTAATTGGCATAATTCTTGAGTACTTAAAATTTCCTATGATGATATTATTATTTTTTCCTTGGACATTGTTAATTGGGATAATTACGGATTTCATATGAAAATTTTGTATATTCATGTTATTTGAGTTTTTCTTTTTTTATTAATTAGCGATTTTGAATGTAAAAGTTCTGTTAGATCATTGAAATGTTTATTTTTATAAATATGAAATCTAAAAGCGGCTATTGTTGGTCGAATCTTTTTTGTTTGATTGGTTTAGAATTAAAATGATGAACCCATTTTGGCTCTTAATGGCGAAGAATGAGAATAAATTAGTAATTTTAATAAAATATATATTGATATAAGTGTGTTATTTATTGTATCAATATAAAATAATTTTTCTTGATTTCATTATTTATTATTCACATACCATTTTTCAATGTTAAATGTAGCTAATACAAAAGAATTCTGAATGCTATTAAAAAAGCAAAAGAATTTTATGGAAACCTTATCATCACAGGCCATTCAATCGGAGGTGCTATGGTTTCTTTTTGTGCACTTGATCTAACAGTGATCTAATTTTGTAAGAAAATGCTCCGTACGATTGAAACATTCACCAACAGCTCTGTATGATGATGATGTATTTAACATTACATATCTATTCTACCAACTTCTCAATAATCAAATAAAAAAAAAATAGTAACTGCCCCGAGTGCAGTGCATGGGCAACACTCCAGTAAGAAGATAAAATTAACATTAGATGGAATGATTAAACATTCAAGGGTCTTACATGGATGGATGACGGCTACACTTGTGTATGTTAATTAAAATCAATTCTCATAAATGGGCTGGGCCTTAGCAAGCAGGAGTTAGGCTCATTTGTTATTGGGCCTTGAAGAGGTGGCCTTAGGCTTGATCATTTTAACCCAAGCTGGATCAAACTTGCCTCACTAAGTCCAGTCATTTCCTTGGTAAACTCTTGAATCAAGAACTTGGAATTCAGTCTGGGTTTTACCAGTGTTGGTCCTGTTGGATGAATGAGGATTAGAGGGAAAGAAGCTGTTTTCCCATCAAACCAAGCAAAAAGTAGATAAAGATTAAAGGCATTAATTTCCTAATTACTCATCATTTCATTGCAAATGCAAGCCCAACATTACAATCTAATATTGAACTCCATTACAAATATTCAAGACAAAGCAAACAAGCTGAATATAACATTTATGACATTGAAGAAACAGATTATTGCCGACAGAACAGCCAAAAGGGTAAAAAAAAGATGTCAGATCCTGGAATCCAAGGCCATTATGGTGGTGAGATTCATGGGGTTCATGTACTCAATAGAGCCGGTCATTATCTGTTGCACAATCAATCTGTTAGCTTTCTCTGATGGATGGAATGGATCCCAAAATGCATAGAGAGATCTATTTGGACATAAATTTGACAGTTGAGTGCACAGACCGAGTCCATTGTAAGGTCCTTGCCCACAACAGGCTATCTGTGATGTTGTAAATCCTGTTCCAACCATGACAAAGGTTCAAGTTAGAAAAGACATGTTCTAATCACATGTTTGAAACAGGATTTTGTTAATAATTAAGTAGCGTCAAAATTTGGAAGCAAGGGAAGTACCAAATGCTCGAGGGTCACTGACAAAATCATTGTGCATTTTTGGAGTATTTGCGCTAATGAATACATCTCTGCTAATATTCTTGTTGAGTCCATTTAACATCTGAGCAAGTTGTGGGTTGTACAAAGATGCAGCGCGTTGTAGTTCTTCTGAGCATCCCCCATTGGTGCCCCTCATAGCCAGTTCTGCTGGAACACAACCCATTGGCCCAGTGCCTGTCACTAGAACCCTGCGTGCTCCTAGCTTGTATAGCCTCTGCAGTAACAATGATGGAGAAAATTGGGTTGATAAATTCATTGGTACTTGTTTGTATCTTGAGTTCTTGCATCGTCTTGCAAAATAACTGATATAGCTACAGTCCAAACTGTGTTTTGATAGAGAACTATTAAACCGAGTAGAGAACCAAAATGGGCTAATAATAAATTTAAAGCAGAAACTGAGTGCTGTTTGCTTGCTTGAAAAAGCCAAGCATGAAACATGTGCTTGGTTGCATGCTAGATTTTGTTCCTCCTTCACATGTTTACGAACTAATGTCCACCAACTTTCAAGTGTTGCCAACTTTCTTGTGACTGCCAGTGCATTGCATACGTGCAGTCATGCAGATCAAGGGAAGAAAAATTGTCAATGAAAATAATTAAAGGAAATTACCATCAAGAGTCTTCGATATTCGGAAATGAGAAACTTGATATACTCTGGCAATTTATATTGGCGAGATCTTGCAGAGTAGGGCACCAAGTAGTAGTTATTCACAAAATCATTGCCACCAACAGTGATGAGGACAAGTGCTTGGCTTACAAGTTGATGAGCTTGCCTTGATCCAACGAGAACAGACAGCCTTCGCTTGTATTCCTGAAAGTACTCCAGCTGTCCATACATTCTTATTATATTTACCTGTAATTGTAACATTGGCTTATATCAGCTTTTCTTGTTCAAAGATGATATCTATTCAAACAAGCATTAGCAACTAGTTTACAAGTTGGCATGGCAATGATGGCATAAAATTCTTTTTCTTTTAATACAAACTTCTATCCAGGAGAGAAGATTAGCTGCCAACTTACAAATTGGACTCCAGTGTCATTAAGGATTCCCACCCCAGCTGAAGCAAAGTTGGCACCAACAAGCAGCTTTTGCCCATTAAGCTCTGGGCTCATGTATGGCAATGGGGATTCTGATAAGCCAATTTGCTCAGCTGGAAAGCATTGAATTGACATTAAATATATTTATGTTGTCTGTAGACAAGATAACAACATTAAAAAGAAAAAGGAACAAAAACATGACAGTAACTAGTATTGGAAACTTAACCAATCAAGTCCGGAATGTTAAGGCCATTAGAGAAACGCCCGGTGGGTCTTCGACCAGGGTAATCAATTCCATACGGGGGTGCATCCGCACGGGCAGTTGTTGCAAGGTAGTTGTTGTTGCCACTATCAACAAGTGAATCACCAAAAACAAAGAATGCTCGAGCCTCAGCTAAGGGAGCAATACTCCCCAAGGCCAATAGGAAAACCAAAACCATCCAAAAACCATAAAATGTTGATGAAGAAGCCATTAGCATTATCACAAGAGACCAAAGGAAATTTCTTCTTCTGTGGGTATAGGAAAATAATGGGGTTGCTTTATAGAGCTGTGATTTCAGCCATCATTGAATTAAAGAGAAGCTACAAAGC